TATATATATATATATATATATATATATATATATATAAAAATAATATTAACTATTTACAAAGTAATTATAGACCTTACATATATTCAGACGTCTAAATATATATAAAATTGCAAGTCACTTTATAAACATAATTATACGTTAATGTTAATAGGACAGATAAAACACACATTTATCACAGATAAAACTCACTTTATCTTTTAAATATGTATAAATATGTCATCTTCTAAATATGTATAATTTATGTAGATTAATTTCATGATACATTAATAACCTTTTAATATCATAAGATAAAATAAATATATTTATTACTAAATTTTTAAATTTGCTAGATATTAAATTAGTGATTATTTACGCTTTACACAGAATGTTAGGATGTATAAATTGTTGAAATAAATATAATTGTTTAAATAAAAATATAAAAATGTAATTTTAATATTATGTATAGTTTATATATGTGTAAAAATTTATGTATAATCAAGCTTTATATGATAAATATCAGTGTAATATTAACATTAATTAATCGACTGTTATACATGAGAGATATACATATTAAAAATGTTAAACATGCTTGAATGATGCTCCAGTTGTATGTAGTACAACATAAGCCCCACTCTAAGGCCCCAGTCACTGACTTGAGACTATATTACATCTAGCTGGCAAGAGTCCAAGGTAGTTGTCTTGAATTTATGGTCCCGTTTGTATCAGCATATGCGAAGTAAAACGCGATGCGTTACCGCGAGTTCTTTGCTTTCTGAGGATAAAAATCTGTCGTAATCGGATATCACCTGTTATGAAACTTACGTAATCATGTGCTGTGTCGCATCGACATGGATTACGAAACCTTACTTTCTATGTACCGGATTCCAAATTCTCTTCTAGATATTTCTTAATACGGCAAGTAAAATATGAAATTATATAATACAAATTTAAATGTTATTAATCGTTGTAAATTCACCGCGCGATACAGTATTATAAATATGGATCCCTGTTGACATATGATTTAGAACTAATCTAATCAGCGAAGATCCAGGACTGAATATTGATAACATATGGTAAAATAGATTCGGTTTGAGTTTTACATGAACATCTTTAGACGTATGCTTTTCAAGCCGAGTGTTGGTAGGAAGGAAGGAAATGGCCACATCTACTGCAACCCAGTACAGCTATAATCACTTCTCGTCTTCGTTTTCTTCGTGAGCCTACGGTTACGTTAATTAATTATATAGCGATGCGAAAGAGACATACAGACAGACGCAAATTAATTAACGGAAGCTCCGTCAGTATCCATCGAGACTCATGTAATTAGCGTCGCCGAGTCGAGAAAACCATTGCGGTACGACACGTGATTTACAGCAATTCTCACATTTTTTTCCCTCCAATTTTTTTCAACTTTTTATGTATTATTTTACAAAATCAAAAAGGAAAAACGGAACGATGGCTAAGCAATGGTTGAACAATTCCTAACAATTCCTATAAAATATTTTCTTCTGTCGGAATAGCCATTGCGGCAGGCTGGAACAAGTGCTATTATGCATTCAAGATAAAGCACAAATTTTGTCAATTCTTCTTTGATTGTAAATTTAAAAGAAATACGTTGCAGTATTTTTTTTTTTTTTAGTCATTTTAATCGTTCGAGGAAAGCAATCATAATGACGAATAATGTGTATTATTTTTTTTTTAATCAGTTATATCATCGTTCATTAATATATATACAGATATATACCTGTTAATAATTTTAAACTTCCTGTTGATTCACTACGGCTATTTGTATTGACGATTTTAGAAGGCATATAAAAATTCTTATAAAATATGTAAAAAAAGAAATATTTTCATTAAAGCGATATTTACATTCGATAGAACAGATTTACAAAATATATCGAAAACTTTTCAACTTTTTGCTTTTAGAATTTAATTTGTTTCTTATTGATTATAGAATTTTAAATATAGTTACTTATTGATTATCGAAGCAAAAAGGGAATTTTCGATATGTTTTACAAGTCTATTCTATACAAATGCTTTGCTTTATTAAAAAAATATTTCCATTTTAATTTTGCAAGAATTTTCATTATGTGTTTTCTTTTGATGTTATCAATCTAAATAATAAATCAGTAAAGATTTTAATTATTAGACATCAATATTATGAAAAAACATACGAAAAAATGTAACGTTTTGAATATATTTATTTTCATAAAAGTATATTTATCGCTATTCTATTTCTATAAAGATTTTGGTACTTTTGCAATTTTATTTAAAATATTCGACAAAATTATTGGAATAATGCAAATCTCTTTATCCTTTCTCAAGCTGATATTTTTGATATCTACAATGCTGCAAGATATGCCTAAGTATTATGAAGTATGGAGGATCATGACCTGTAAAGAAGTGAAGATTTTTTTGGGCTGAACTGGTCCTCTTTTGTGATAGAAGCATATGAATGCTGAAAGATGATGAATGAGGGATCAATATTATAGAAGACAAAAGATGTTTACCTTTAAATGGTACAATAAAGCATTTTGTTAAAAAAAAAGTCTCCTTAAAAGAGACCAAGAATATATACTTGTACATATTGAAAAGAACAAAAGAAGATTGAAATAAAACAAAGCAAACAAAGATTGTAATCAATATTTCTATGATGCGATAAATCATGTAGAACAAGTGAAAACATTAACGAAGAAATCGTGCTGCCTTGTTTCAAAGTCTTCGGTTTACGATCCTTGATTGATTTGATTGAAGGTAGAAAAACGTAATCATGTTTGCCACAATATCAATCCGAGCATGAAAATGTAGAAAGTCGTCGTAAGCAGTTGTTTGTGCTGAAATGTGGTCCATTTGCCAGCACACATTTATGATATAATTAAACTTTCGAGAAGACCTACGTACAGGAATTGAAAATTTTCCGACCAGTGACCTACTACATACAAACCTTGGATTCGATTCATATAAAGATTAAGTCTGGACACATTCCGCGCAGGGTGCATAATAATTTAAAACGTGATGTCCATTATCCTGTTACTTCGATTGTTCTGAACATTATTACGCATTATTTCAACGATCATCTTACTAAGATACTACAGTGACATTCAAAAACATACAGATATACTCTTGACATTTAAATAAAGACAAGTAAAAAATATTTGCTTTCTCATTTTAATAATAATTTTAATCATTTTTGAAGCTCTTTTTTTTAGAATATCAAGATATTAAAAAAAATGTTTTGTTTGAGTTATGAGCGGTTTGAAAAAAAAAGACTTTTTTTTAGAAATTAAACTTTAAAAAATAAAAACTATACTTTTTATTTTTTATTTAAGTGAATTAACAAGTTTCATCAAATTAATATATTACTAATATATATATATATATATATATATATATATATATATAATATATCATTTGTTGTTCAGGAAAAAAGTTACTTTAAAATTGACCAAAAAAAATTTATTGTTGAAAGATTCATGAGATACGCGACGTTTTACACATACATAATTATTTTACATGTTTATTATTTATATATTAATAATTTTTATGATTTTGCAGATTACAACATGACCGGAATAAACAATCCCGCCTATGACGATGTTGAACCAACAGTAAGTCAATATTAAGCGATTAAGTTTCATACATTTTACAATATGACAGATTTTAATGGTTGGCTATTATTAACTTATCTTATGAATTAGTATTTTGTTTTTTTAGAATGTTTTTAATTTGGGAAATAAAAAGAAAGATAATATTTTGTTAGGATACTCGATGTGTATATATTGATGAATATAAAGAAATTTGTCCGTAAGCAAAGTTTTTGCAATGATTGAAACTGAAATAATTGAATTTCAAACGCATCTCGCGTAGTTGTAAAAGTAATTTAAATGCTCGGACCACATGATACCCGGAAGGCAGATTGACTGATTCATCTGGATTCTAATTGTTGCATCACTTTTCACTCTTAATTATTTTTCAAAGATAAACTAAACAAAGATAAACTAAAATCAATAAACAAAATTATCTATTTTATTATAAATTCTATAAATTTAACAGGTTACTATGCAGGAAAAAATAAATAATAAAAATAATATAGTTTTATATTTTAACGTCGACATTATTGTTTGACATTATCTGTACATTTCAAAGTTAAGTTAAATTTCACGATTAATTTCTTTTGATTCATATAGGAAAATTTATGAAATTATATATCAAAACTTGATAAGATAATTTTTAAAATTATTAAATTCAAGTAAAAAATTCATATTAACACAAATTTGTAATTCTGAAT